CACCTCCAAAAAAACATGAACCATGAATTGTCATCTCGCTGAACTATGTATGGCTGAAATATGCTCCTATTTGTTGTTCAAATCTGCTCATGTTTGTTGCTGAAATATGCTATTGTTTTGTGCTGAAATATGTTTTGACTAGTTAGAATGTTTCAATCACATTTTAATTTCATTAATTGTTACTCCTATAGTTACTGAACTCGGGCTAAAAAGAAGCACCTTTGAAACCAGGGTTACTGAGCCCAGGATTTCCGTTGATACTATAATTGGTTACTCTTGAGCCTTTGAAACCATTCTGATATAATCCTGGGTTCTGATATAGGACCTGGTAGTCAGATTTCTGTTGAAATGGTTATTCTGATATAATTTATTTTTTATTATTGGTTAGTCCTATAGCCGTTGTTCCCTAGAATTGTGGTTATCAACTACACCGGCCCTAAATGTTGTGTATTTGTATTAGCACGAACTCCCTCTGTGTCGAAAACGCTTTTATATTATGAGACGAAGGTGAGTACTATATAGAAATAACAATTCTCTATGGTTGGTTAGTTTGCTTAAATATTCAAATACGTATGCACCATGGTATAGTACACTGGTACCATTATTTGTGACTGTGATCAAGTACTCAAACCAGAAAATCTTCAGGCCTTGTTTGGTAGGGGTGGATTTGAGAGGTTTGGGAGGAGGGGATTTTAGGGGATTTGGTGAATCCCCCTATTCCACCCAATCCCCTCAGATCCCCTTGAAACCTCAAATCCCTCTCCATCCACAATCCCCTCCATATAAAACATTGTTTGGTAGGCAGGGATTGCCCTATTGAGTTAAACTGATATAAAACAGTTAAAAATCCAATCTTTACAGGTTAAATAGCATCACAACAAGACAAACTTGCTACAAAATTGTGAATGACACCTAAGTGTCAGTCTAACATTGAACGAATCCCATCCAGCACTAACACTACTACTACTTAGCGATAACCCGAGTGAACAACCAAATTTGCAACTAGATACATGCAATGTAGCCTAAGAGGAGGTGAACTTGGTGATGACCTTCGAGCCCTTGGAGACGGCGTTCTTCAATATCTTATCACAACAACAACTTTGAAGGACTTGAAACTACAAACAGAATTTCCTTGCTTGGTTGTTTATCAAATTTTCATACTGTATTATATAATCTGAGAGTGGAGAATTAAATAATGAATGCATGGAAGATAGTACTAGCAGACTAGGCTAGATGGCCACATATACTCTGATATTGGAGAACCAATGTTGCTCACCCAGATTATGCACCAAGAAAAGAAAAAAAATCATGTGTACAGATGGATAAACAGGACAAAGATATATTAGAGTATGAGAGTTGCACAAAAGTAGGATGTGGGAATTTTCTGAATCAAAAGATTAGCTAGCTTCATGATCAGGGACGTATCCGAGAAAACGGAGGCCCGGTGTAGATTAAAAAATGAGGCCCTCGACCTAACAAACAGTAGCAACTATTTTAGAGAATTTTATTTAGAGAAAACTAATAGTAGCAACTAGATACAAAGGCTTTGTTATATGTATCATCATTCTGCCTTTATTTTAGGATTAAGTTACTAATAAAGTAACCAAGTTACAAGTGTACATGAGTGCTACATCAGTTGCAAATTTATGGATGGGGACCAAAATGAAGCATACTGAAGAAGGAACGTCCAATTTGCAAGTGCATCTGTCATCTCTCTCTCTCTCTCGTCGCTTCAAGAAAAAGGTGTGATGCCACGAAACAAAAACAACTAAGATTTAGTTACAGATATTACACTGTTGTATTTGATAGAGAAGAATAGCGAACAGATAATGTTAATGCATACAAATGAACATAAGATCAATAAAAATGTAGGGATACAGAGGTTATCATTGTATGTTGTTCTTGTCCAAAAATACATCAATCTGCGTGGGGATACAACAGCCTGTGGGAGGCCATAAATTAAACTAGAACCAAAATAACACCCCTAGCCCATGACACTAGGGAACAATAACAACAGTCAGTGCTCCAGATCGATGGATTCAATCAGATAAATACCACAGTCTCAGCTTCCTTCTAGTAGACCAGGCCAAACGGCTACAGAAGCTAACTGTCGTGTTCTCCAAATGAGAAGAGACAGACAGACTCATCGATGGACGCATCAAAATGCTGCCATACACTATTAGGGAAAACCTTATACACAGAATTTTACCAGTAGCGCTTGTTAAAATGAGGCGCTACTGCTACTTAGCAGTAGCGCGTCGGCTAAAACGGCGCTAC